TTTCTTTATTCTTATTTTGACTCTTGGCCTACCAGTAGTTACCGAAATTAAGTTGTACTCACATACATTATAATCAAAACGTGCGTTTGATTATCTATACGAAGATACCGCTACGGAAGCTGTTTCCCCATGATTTTTAAACAGGTTAACAATTTGAAATCACATTTTTTATCAGTGGTCCAACGACTGGCGTTGGATGAGGAGGTCCCGGGATCGATTTCCCGGAGAACCAATATAGGAAATGAACTTTTCTAAGTTGGTTGGTGGACGAGCTTGACGAATTCGTACAATGTTCGGGACCATGGAACCGCATAAAACAACAATGCAGACATTTTCGTGATTTTTCTTAATTTAAACCCATAAATGTTACTCTAACAATGCTAAACTACTATTGGTAACTACATTTTGTTGACAATACAAACTAGATAAATACTTTTAAATATAATGTATGATATGTAGCAAAAATAAACTATACAAAAAACTTATCTGGACCTAAAAGTTTAATATAAAGAAAAAATACTCTCAGTTCATTTCTCATCACTAGCGAGGTCGTTAAGAATTGAGTAGTTGATTCCTAACCGTTTCAATATCAGTCTGTCTCACTCATACTTAGTGCTTTTATAGAGGGGCCGTAGTGATGTAAAGACTGTCAATGAATCTATCGACAAAATGACGTGACGAAAAAAGTTTCTTCAGTTAAACGTAAGGTAATTTTAGAATCTGTAGTAGACCATATTGTACGAAATATGTTTTTTCCTAGATACCCACATGGAAAATTTTAAAAATTACATTGGGCGTTTATTTCGTCATAAGAATGTTATCGTCGGTGTTTTGTAGAAGCATGTCTTAGGTTTTAATGACTGTTTTAAAATATTTACTTCCTGTTTTAAAATTCAATATTGTTGTAGATCAAGTAAGTAACAATACCCCAATGACTCACCGACGACGCATACAACAAATAAATTTTGATAACAAACAAGAACAATTCAAAGACCGAACACTAAGACAAATTCCTTCGATCTGGATTCGAACCAGCGCCTTCCAGCAATACGTGCTAGACGCTCCGCCTACTAGGCCACTAAACGAACCAGCAGACCTTACGTATTTTTCTATGCGCTTGTTGCAAATTTTGGTTTTCAATTATAAACAGGAACAATCCCTCAAGTTTTTGTCATGGGACTCTGCCTTACGAAGGAGTAGTAAGTAATGTTCAATAAATTTAACGCTTTCAAGTGTAATTTGCTTACCAATGAAACAAAGATATTGAATTGGAAGTGTACTTGCACTATCAATATGATTTACGGTGTAACTACTCAGTTCATAACGACTCCACTGCAGCAGCCTCTATTATTTAACAATAATCCGTTCTAAATTAACGATAACATATTCACAATACAAGTCTGGTCATGGTCTAATTAAAACTAATTTATCCGCTATTTATAAAATAAAACCGATTAAAGTAATTGAAACAGTTTGCGACATAGCTTTGATATTATTTATAACAAACCTTTTTTTTGTTACATTGGTCTCGTAAAGAAACATGATTAATTTTGAACTTTATAATTATAAAACGAATGGAAAAAAGCACGACATCCTTAGATCTGTTACACACGGCTAGTTTTAGCAGCGCGTCTGCAGCGATTCAGTCGCTAAGAGTTCTACCTTTACACACACGCGCGACTTAAGATAGACACAACCTCAAATGGCTTTGGTTCATTCCGCATAACAGTGAAAGTGTTAAATCTATCACTTTGTAAGAAATATATAGTAAAATTGAGGATATACACTGATTACTACACGGTGTGAAAACATGATTCCTAAAAAAAAAAAATTAAAATAAAACCGATGTATTCAATAAGTACTTTACATGTACCAATGATTTTTTTTATACCAACGGACACGTATAGTATACGGTACACATTTTTCAGATGGCTTCAATTTCGTTTGTAAGAAAATAAATTCTGAAATAAAGCCATTGTCCCTGTCGCTCGACACGCGCAAAAGGACGGATATACAGTACGGGAAAAAATTTAATTCAAGCTGAGGTAGTACTGAGTCTTCAGTAGCAATACAATCGCAATGCATGTTTATAATTCAACACAAGCGACTGCAACCGTCTACAAATCGCAACAACGTTCGTTTCATAAACGCGCTTTTATATCGCTCTGCTAAAAGTCGTCGTGTGTAACCGCTCTTAAAGAAACAAAGAGAGCACCTATTTCTGGAAGTACATAAAGCACTCTAAATAATACAGTGTCAATTTTTTTTGAAAATGAATAAAAAAGATAGGAAATAAAATTAATATATCGTTTAACATACCAAATACAATTTTAATAATATTTGGTATCAACCATGTAAGTAAATTATCTTATTTTGTCAGAAATTAGACTATTTTTTCGAATTAAAATCGCGTATATTTTATTTTTCATACAAACCAAGCTTTCCCGCTTTAAGGCCGGTTTTCAGAGTTACACGTATGGCGTTAGAACATCGTTTTATAGTAACGCAGATTGCTCCGTATGGAACACGCTCCGCGTGAATTCCGCACAACCCACCCGTGCGATCATTGTAGGTGACTGTCTTCTGTGAGTAGCCACACTAAATTAAATACTATAATAAACTCTAATACGGTCCCGGTGTAAAGAGTCACCGAATTTAAGTACCAAGGGCTCTGGGTCACGGAGATGACCTAGAGATAGAGAGCGTAGGGTGCTGGCAGCGAGGGGCAACATGTTGACCCGTAGGTTTGCGAGATGTACTGTACATGGTGTGTGCAGTGTGGTAAGTGCATATAATGTCAGTCCTTGTACACATGCAGCCTATGGGTCAACTATAGCCTGTCTTTTTTGAAGATGGAGTAAAATGACAGTTCATGCTAGTGATTGCAATCGATAAATATTCTCTCAACTATCGGCTGAATGTTGGCTAACGCAATAAATCGCCGAACTTGTATCGTTTGAATCATCGTTGGCCCTATCGTATCGTATTCGTCCAACCGCTAGGCACAGGTTCATTTGAATTGTCAATTTTTGTATGTTTCATACATACATACACTACATTCAGACTAATGTCTATTAAGAATACAAAGAGGAGACATATTTGAAAGTTTTTCATTTTAATTCAAGATAGGTAATCGAATTCGCTTGTCCTTATTAAATTGTACATTAATAAAAGTTTATTTCGAAACTAGTAGGACAACGGTCAAAATAGGAATAAAGAAGGCAATAACGCAATTAGTATTCATCAGAGCGCAGTAACATTCACAATTTAGACATTTATGGCAAAACCTTCTACCACTATTTATCGATAAATATATCGACAACAACTACATGACTATTTAAAATTTTATGAAAACTAGCAAATGTCATCACCCACAAAGCTCTCAGCGCCCTACGTGTTTTGTATAATAATATAATCAGGATGCTGCTGCAGCTGCCACGCTTTTGCATTGCATCGGGAATGCTTACTCACACGCATGTGGCTTTGCGGCTATTATGCGAAAAAGAGTGGCTTTCTTGATGAGCAGAATTCGTGGCAGCGGTAACGGCCTCTTGAGTGTTATTGCATTCAGGGTCCAGGGGAATGCATATCAAAAATTAAGTATAATTTATTATTTGTAACACTAACCCTATTTTTAATGTACAGTCACTAACCCTTATGAATGTCAAATGCCAATGAAAAATCTTGGAATTGTGACCGTCAGATTGGCTGTTCGCCTGTCGCATCTGGCACTGAGCGTATATACAAGAATAGCTACCTTACCTACCTTTTCTAAATAATTGCTACGTTTGATATATTCTGAGAAATAAAAAAAAATACTTGACCAGCCATTCTGACGTCAGGATGGCAAGATGACTTCTTAGTAAAATTTTCAATCGTTTATATTTTTTAACTAAGGTAGATAGGAAGCGTATACCTTTAATTCGTGAAGGTAGCAAATAGGTAGCAATTATTGGTAATACATTCTTCTGGAAAATCTACTCCCTTCATGCTAAACAAAGTGGCGACCAGCCATCCTGACGTCAGAATGGCTGGTCAATTTTTTGTTTGATTTCGCAGAATATACCAAAAGGTAGCAATTATTTAGAAAAGGTAGCAATTCTTGAATATACACTCAGTGCCAGATGCGACCAGACGTCCTGACGGTCACCTTTGAATATGAATAAAATTTGAAAAATACTCTACTCGATTCAGAGCACTGCGAATTCTACGCATGCGGATGACCCGCAGGCGCACAGTCCGTATGGACTGTACCGCTGTGAAACCAGCCTTACAGGTCCCATGGTCACGGCTGACTGAGAAGGTAAAGTCGTCAACCAGTTACATCTATTGTTAATTCAAACTAAAATAAATCTAAAGTAAATGCGATTTAGATCCGAAAAAATGGTTTCCAATTCCATTTTCTTTATAATGGCTCCATTGAATTCCACGATGATTTTGCCAAAGTCAGGGTTAAAAATTACTATGTGCGGTAATTTTTTTAATTATGGCGAAAGATGCCAATGTCCAGTTGAAGATTGAGAAATCGAGAAAACCTAAAATAACTCAAGGTAATAAATCACTTTCCTAAAAATTACTTTTCGGGTTATGACCAGTGATCGGAATTGAGGGAGGTAATTGACCTAAAGTATGACGTTTTCTTAGTATGGACATACCCATTTCGTCATCAATGAATATAATTTTTTTTTCTGTTTATTAAATAAACATTCCAAAAGAATTTTGTCTCATGTTAATTGTTTAAATGACTAAAGTATTTAAATACGTACGTAGCTATGAAAACACAACTACAATATATATTTTTAAACAATGTACTCAAACTTGCAATAGCTCTAGAGATCCTTGTAAAAGAGTTCGTCCAGGGAAGTACTGCCACCTTATCTATTTCTGCCAAGGGTTAGGGTGCTAGAGAACTTACAGGCACATAGGATTTGTCAACTTATGTCTCAGAGCGACGGGCGCAGTGGCAGTGCCCCTCAGATCTTTGCAATATAAGAGCTGAGTGGCACTGAAACTGTTTGGACAGGCGTGTAGCTTACCATCAGGCGCACAACTTGTTCGTCCCGTCACTTGATTATAAAAAACTTCAACTTATGGATAAATAAAACGCATATTCAAATATAATTAGTTCCGAAAAGTCCCAGGATTTGTAGAAAAGAATTAATTAGAACTAAAAACGTTATTCTTTAGTTCAACTAAATTAACACCCTCAATTCCAATCACTGGTTACGGTTATAACACTTTATTATTAATTGTGCTTTATGTACGTCCCACACCGGTAACACCGGTAACTATCCTGACAGATAGTTTTGACTGTTTGTATACAATATAAAAACATAAGAATTTCGCAAAAAGACGGATAGTAGCGTTAACATGCGGTCACACTATTACACGTTAATACGTTATAAAATCTATTGGCCAAAGGAATTCTATCAACAGGACTCGTGCGCACGCAATTTGTAGCAATTAAATAAGGATTTCTCCCATGTCGCCTTTCTAGTAATAAAGGACATTATGCTGGATCCTGTATTATTATCGTCCTGTCTTCATCCGAAACCCTTGTTCCGTTTTCGTCACATAATTTGTTCTTGACTCTCAGTAGGGGTCGATTTTGCGCTGTGGCAGCACGAGATCTGTGGACTGTCTTCCCTTTGCTTGCTATCCCGTTCGGTGCTCTCTTCTTTACAACACGGGCTATCGTGTACAACGACAACAGATTCTTGCGTCTTTTTACAGCATTTCTTTTCAGGTGGAGGTTCTTGTTTCTTCTTGCAACAACCTTGGCGCTCTGTGCGTAATAATTGCACGTCTTCTACGCTGGGACTGTCTTCCTTCTCGCTTTCTGCGTGATTGTGTGCGCTGCTGTCGTGAGCGTGAGAGCAGGGAGTTTTGAGTTTTTTCGCTTTCGCGACCATTGACGGGCATCGTTTGGCTCCGTAGTAACACGTAGCGTTGCCCAACTCACTGCTGCCTTCACCCGATGTGTTGACTACATATGATTGCGATGGTTGCATGCAGGTTCTTGTACGACAGATAAACAGATCCGTTTCGGAGTTAGACCCCGACTCTAACAGAGGTGGTGTTGTTTCAGCTGAAAAATGAAATTTATAAATAAAAACTAGAAGTTGAGACCAATTTATTTCTAGGTACTTTCTATTTGTCCGAATCAAATTACAATGAAGCAGTATACTTTACACGCATAAAAAGTGTCTGGGATGAAGGACGTTATTATTAATTTTTTAACCGACTTCAAAAAAGAAGGAGAAAATAATTGAAAAATTTTTTTGTATAGTATGCTTCGCGATTACTCATTTGTAAACCGATTTTGATGACTCTTTTTTTATTGGAAAGAAGGTACCTCAGTATTGGGCCCATTTAAATTTGGGGGTCAATTTAATCAATTTATATACATATTTTTATCAAATTTTAATAGGGTAATCAAATATTTAAAAAAGATACCTTGACCCCTAGACACTTCCGATGTGTATTTTAGGACAGATTTAACCTATTAAACGCCTTGTGTAGGCGTTTAATAGTGAGTTAAATTATAAGAAATTTTAATAAGACAAAATACAGACATGGTTAAAATACAAGCCAAATTAAAGTACAGACCAACTTAAAATACAGACTAACTTAAAATACAGATCAACTTAAAATGCAGGTGCAGTTAAAATGCAAGCAATATAAGGTAACGTATAGATAGCAACCAGATAAAGCAGATGACAATGTTAGATACGAGATAAATTATCGGTGCAGGTAGATAGATATATCAGTGGACAGCTGCGTTTCAGTTTGCTGCAGCTCAACGGCGTCCATCTTTTTGCAGAGCTTGCCCTCGCACACATCCCAGCTGCACTTCTCCGTGTTGCATCGGTCTTAAGATACGACGGACGTATGCGTTAGTAACAAGCTTTATTTATCAGAAATCAGTGTTATAGAGTTTCAAAACCACTGTAAAACTATAGACATATTACCAATAGTATCGTGACCTTGAAAACTAGCAACGTATTTATATTTATGCTAGTTGAAATCACTATTATCGATGGAACCTATTAATAAGATTGCATCCTGATATAGATATTAATGTGATAAATGATAACATTACGCACATCGTCACTTCACAGTGATGTTAGGAACAGGATTTGGGAATAAGAAATAACGATATCCAATTGGTTTTATATACATATCTCGACTTTTCACCAACTCAGTGACTAGATCGTTGTTACTAGATTATGCAGCATTTTGGCAACAAAAGCGACATTTTATTTCTCAGTAGCGACTAAAAAATTTTCTGACTTTTTGGCGCCTCGTAATTAGGTTTCATGTTTTTAGCATTTAATATGGACCTGAGATGTCTGAATAAAGAAATTTATTATTATTATTATTATTATTAATATGGCCAAATAAATATAGCTAAATAATCATACTGACTTTGAAAATGCACTACTCAATAGTAGGATCCTTAGTCCCTACCTACTGACCCGAGAGATAGGGTTTTCCGGAGAGACTACGAGCTCGACGGCAACACCAGGGTACAGCGGGCGTCCGGGCCAAGCCTTCCGCCAGTGATACGCCTGGGCGGGCGTCTCTGGCGGAGCCGGACTTGGGTATGGACTCGCTGGGGTTGGTGGTTAGCTGCAGAGACGGACATGTTTGTCTGCTCCGGTTTTGCATGTGTCCGGGGCGTCTGTCTTGTGAGCAGCTAGTGCGTCTTAGTAGCGGTCTAGTTGAGGGTCTGTATGCGAGCAGACGCGCGGGACACGTGAATTGCCCTTTAAGTTGGAAGCTATGTCCGGACATTGTCGAAGGACACCGTGACTGGCATCTCCGGCACTAGCCCGGAGAGCTAGAAAAGGATAAACTAGATATCCTCCGGTCCCTCCAGCCGCTTAGGTTATTAGGAACTGAAGAGACGTCGTTTCTCGGCGTCGGGAAGTAAGCGTACCTTACAGCTCCGCCACCAATGAGGAGATTTGGTAGTGGACTCAGAGTCGACGGCTTAGCGGTGGCAACAGGTAGTTGTGCAATGCGCAACGGAAAGTGAGCGGGCCTACAGTTCCGGTACCTATCTGGAAAATAGGGAGGGTACTGTACGTGCACCCGGGGAGGCTCACCCGAGGCACTAGCCTCTCGAAGAACCGGATGAAGTCAAGTGAAGTACCTGGGAGAACCCTGTACACTGGCTGATCTGGGGTCAGAACCTGAACTTATAAGGTTCCTGTAGTACGTAGAAAGATATGGTGCTTGCTCAAGAACAGGATTCTTTTTTGTTTATTTTTTTATTGGCTTTTGGCGGTTAGCGTTTCAGCCACAAGAAAAAAAGAGATCAGGCGAGGAACTATAAGATATAAATAAACAAATATCAGGTGTCTTGTTTAATTGATCTTTTGTCTGTGCTTTGACTATAAAATTCTTGCCAATAAAATGAACCTTATTATGAGCAACACAAGATTAGCGTTAATTTTCAATAGGAGTAGTACAGTTTCAGAGACAATAAGCTATTTTTATACCTCCTGTCTAGCGAGTTTTACTTTAGTCTAGTTGCAACGTCGCTCCAACTTGGTGAATTATTAAATCTTTTCCATAGCTATAAACACCGAACAAAATAGCGAGCGATGGAGAAAATATTGGATAGGCTCTTGTATGGACAAGTAAAAAACACAGTCATGCCGATTTTACAACAATTAATCGTTTCTAGCAAAGTAACGGTAAGGTTTACTTTAAAATTAAAAGAATGAATGTTAAAATACATTACCTGTATCATCACACTCGGGAGTACAAATAACTGTGCGTTTGGATCGGAAGCATTGCATTTGCAGACGTGTTAGCTTCGGACCGAGTAGAAAATATCCTGAAAGATCAAAAAAGTTCCATTAGGCGGTTATTTCAATTAAACACGATTGTCAATTCGAATAAATATTTAGAAATGATATACTTTAGTTACGGTTATTAGAGTAGCAAATAAGAAATTGCTATTTAAAGGACACGTAGTACAATGATAAAGCGTTAGAGAGATTTGTCCGTAGTACCAACCACCTACGTTCCGAGATTTTGTAATTTAGAATGTCCCAGGGGAAGATAAAAGAAGAGAAAAACAGAGAACAGCATCCAGTGAACAGCTATGAAGAGGTCAAGGAGCTGGCTATGATTCGTGAGGAATGGAGGAGGCTACACCGACAAGAGTATGGCCTCTTAACTGAGAATGAATTTCCCAGTATTATCATAATGTCTCGTCTCTAAAGTCCACCTGTGAAACAAGAACGCGTGAATATTGAGGACTTATAATACTAACCAAGCATCATGCCAAAGACGACAGCGAGCAGCAAATGAACGTTGTAGACCATCACAGCTAGCATGAGCAAGTAGCCGACCACGTTGTGTACCACGAACATCAAAGACTGATGCGTATTGACCAACACCCTGACCGAAAGAAGTATTATTAATTAAATGAGAGATAGAATTTCTGTATAAGATGCCAGGCACGCATGCTTTTGCCGATTAGGTCCAGACCCGTCGAGTATATAACCAGAAATAAAGATGAAATAAGGACTATCCATCCCTGCCAACTCATTAGGCAAATGGGCCTTATATCACTTAAATATCAACTCTCGTTTGCGCCAAATAGTACAGCGACAACGACTGACCTGTGTATACGTCTCGGTATATTCCGAAAAAATTCTGTATTTACTGTAATAAAGATAACATCTCTAACAATGGGGGCTGTTCCATTCGGTGGTGTGGGAAAAACAGCGAAACATCTAATTACAAAACAAACGGAATAATATTTCATTGGTAATCAAATATCAAATATGTAATTTTTAATTTTCGTCTACTATAGCAAAGCTGAACTGGTCGATTTGAAGCGAAACAATTGACGACACCCGTCAATTGTTTTCAATTCGGGCTGGCCGATCGGAGCGCAGTTGTCACAGTAATGATTTGGCAGAATAGTTTTCGAACAAATTAAATTAAATTTCATCTCTATTTCTGGTTACATATTCGATGACCAGACCAAATCGGCGGAAAATCGAAGAGGATTTTTTGTCCTCCCGAACTAACCAGGGGACTTCACGAATTTGTGTATGTGCTTGCGTCGTATCTTTGTATTTGGTTTTTCAACGATCAGTCTGGATCAGTTCGAACCGACGTTTTCTAGCATACCGAAAACGTCGTCGGTTCGAATCCGGCTGGATCGAAGGATTTTTTCTGAGTGTTCGATCTTTGTATTAATAATTGTAACATCTTCTTTAAACAAATTGTGAATCTGAATCGCAATTTCACTTGTCCCAATGAACCAAACCTAACTCTCTCTCTCTCTCTGCATTTATCTACATTCGTAAGAAATAGAGGTTAGAAGTTAGTGTGTAAACTGTTGCTTGAGTCAATGTTAGCAGCACAAGAATCTTCCTCAAGTAAGGGAGTTACCACACATATCAACGCGGAATCGGCTTGAAGCGGTCATGTTTTACTACACTTGTTTATTTATTTTATTTTTGAGGGTACAAATAGCTTGTACCACAATGTAATACAAACTATATTAATTATAAGCAAAAACAGTTTCCTACTAATAAAAATACAATAGCAAAACTTTCATAACGTACGCACGCTTGTGTTAAACAAACCAAAATTAATTTTAATTTTTTTAAAGATTAATTTTAAAACATAAGTAGCGAATGATTATTTTTCTGAATTCTTTCAATACGCGAAATACAGATGTTATGCGTTGGGTTCCAGATCTGAGAGGTATACTCCAAGTTGCTTCGCACAAGGGCACAGTATAACATTTTTGGTGTTCTGGCTATCTATATCTATAACTATCGCATTAAACCGATTCGCCGTCGACGCAGCTGTTCGTCGCCACCTTTCGGCCATCGCCCCGGATCGGGTATATGAAATGTGGCCTTCGCACCTTTGGAGCTGTTCGGTCGACGATGAGGCTATTCGGACTTCGCCGCTGGCGATCGGGGTCGACGCCGCCGATTAGCCGTCATGTGAATGAGAGTAGACCTCCAGATTCGGTGCGGAACTGTGTCGAGCCGCGCCGAACGAACCGATGCGAAACGCACGTCTTTTCTATTATATAATATCATGGAGCTTTTTCTGACCGGGATAATGTGTCTGTAATGTAACGTGTGTATCTGTTGCGATAAATGTAGTGACTCCCTTGAAGAAAGGAAATGCGTATGCAATGAAGAATTGCGACTATGACAAATAGATTACAGCCTTAAGTAATTAATCCGAAAGTTGGCGTATAAACAAAAACAATCCTTACCTAACTTTCAGCGACGCCCATCGGCTGACCTGTCCCGAACTCGCGTTGCGACTGGTCGTCGGCTCCATTACCCCGCCTTGTTCCCTGCAACAAACCTCTTGTTATATGTAATGTATGTAACCTACCTTTGACAACTCAACATGCTATATATGTTAGACTTTAAAGAATCGGTACTTGTATAGGTGAATTAACAAGAGTTTACGTGGACAATACATGTGATATAGTGAGTCTGTACGCAGCAGTATTTTGTTTTGTTTACACTGAATTATGTAAGTGGTTACAGTCTTCATATTTTTTCTCGCGGCTCCAGGATGGTCACCTGACCCCCAACTCAATAAAACAAACAGTTAGTCCTATATAATTTGACGAGCTCGGTGGCCTTACGATTTACACTATGGGCGCTGGATGCGATTCTGCTGGTCCTGGATACGATTCTCGGTAGGACCAATTTAGGAAATGAACTTTTCTAAATTGGTTCTGGTTTGGGTGTTTTGGGAAGTGTCCGAAAGTGAATGTCGTTGCTCTGGTAGTAGTACAGGGAATCCCTAATCTGAGACAAGGCAATTGGTGTGGTTATATCGTCGGCTTAAAGGTAAAACTACATAAGTAACATTTTCCACAAAAAAGCCACAACATTTTATAGCTATGGTAAAAAAATCAGGGACTTTCTGGATGTAAAATTTAATAATAAAAAATGTATAAATTATTATTTATAAAAAAGCTATAAAATTATTATTAGTATTGTCCCAGAGAAAGGCAAATGCCTCCTTACTTTCTGTCACTTATGCTCTTTAGTCATAAGATTAAACCTTTAATAAAATGTTTCATTTCAATCACGCGCACCTACTCAGTATACTACTTTTTCTGTAATTTGTTGCTACAAAACCGCGTTAGTGACTTTATCCGGAATCGAAACAAGTTATCGGTAAATTTACGTTATTTTTCTACAAAGTGAATCGCAAAGTAGTAGCTGCAGAGTTCAGTCGGTAAAATATAGTTGAGTAGCTAAGATATTAAGTTTTTTATTCCTCCTGTAAAATCGTGAAAACGCTGTTACGCGATATTCACAAAGTGCTCTTCAGCGGTATTGCACGCGCAGCAACTGTGTGTTTTTACTTTTAAGCAGATGATATAGCACATTATTTTATATTAACACATTCGCGTGAGTTACATACTATGCCAACCTTTTTTTTTGACGGGGGAAATTTTTACTGATACCCCTGAGCCCAGGGAGGCTCGGGGGTTATGTGGGGACTCTCCCTCCAGACATACTACGCCAACCTAAACATTAAACAATGTACTATTACGTCATTTAATTGAAGACCATAAGAGAACGCTATCTGGCCATATAAAATATTAATAGTGACGTCATTTCTCTACGACATATCAAAATATGGAATCTCCAGGGACACGTCGTATCGAAATTTCACAGGTTAAGTAAGCACTACTCACATGACCAATGATCGCTAGCATAAACGCGCAACGTTTATTGACGTCGGTGTCATTATAAGTTACATAAGAAACGTTTATAAACGTTTGCATTAATGTATGAGAAAAATATGTTTCACAGCGCATCAATCGGCAAAAGCAATGCTCGCGCGAATGTGTTAAATGTAACTACCAAGTGCATATTTCTATCAAATAAGTAAAAAAAAAATTAAATTTGCAGTACGTGAGTTTAATTATTAATAGTTTATTAAATATGTCGCATGGTTCGCCACTGGATCTGGAGTTTTTTCCTAAAAAAGACATTTAACTACGGATTTCTAAACACGGGACACGGCTCCATAAATGGTTCGTCACATCACATATTACGGAAACTATTAAATCTACAAAAAAAGTAAGTATAGGTACAGTCTGATAACTGGAGTGTCACTGGGCCACACGTCGCCATGGCGATGCATCGTGAAAACTTGCTGGTGGTTGAATTCTAAACAGTACTTGTTCTTGCGCGTGCGTTTGGTGTGGCTGGACCCGGCTTGCGTCTTTCTATCGTGCGTGTTTCCTTCGGTTTGCGTTCTGTGACCGGTACTGCACAACGAATGAGGAAAATTAAAAATAAATTTCCCTAACGTGGATCCAAAGATTTTAATCGCATAAAAGAAATACGTGAAAATTTAAGTGACGAACCATTTTTGGTATCCGTAAAATTCTTTACTATAGTCTGTTCCAATCTATTGTACCAGAAAAGTATTTTTTTTTATTAAGGCTTTCGCAAAGCCATCAGCCTAAACATGAAATTTAATTAAGTTTCTGTAAATATGGCCGCCACAAAGAGGATAGGCAATTTGAGGCGGCGTGCTTGGATTGACTCGGGATTCCTTAAAACTTAATTTCGCGTTTTAATCTTCGATTAAGGCACAATAGCACTATCCTATTCCACTTTAAACTAGATTTCACAAAATAATTGAAAGTCAAAATAAAAACGACACTTTTCCCTCCAAAAGGTCCAGAGCGAATTTTTGACAAACAGACCATTGGCCCGACCATAGACAGTTTAGTGATGGTCAATTGTACTGCCAACTTCAAAACGATTAATTAATTGAATGAATTGATTTGTTTCATTGAATCAGTTGGAATAACTGGGTTAGAGTTAAAGATATAAATCTTAAAATGGGTTTTGCGATATCGCTGCTGATTACTCTTTTTTTTTTATTCAAAGTAAGTTTGCATTTCACCTCCATCATAGCTGATGGAAAGTGACGATGAAGTGGATGATGGAACATGCACACCTAAATAATGCCTCATGCCCTGAAAAGGTCCAAGTTACAACGTTCAGGGAACAAGTCTGCAGGCAGGGAATTCCACCCCATAGCCGTTCGCCATATAAATGTGGAAGCGACACGACAAACTATACTATAAAAAAATATGTGATTCAATACTAAGTGATGATTTTTCTTACACGAGATTAGAAATTTTTCTTACATAACCTATGAAAGCAATTTTAAAATTACCGAAATCTAATTTTATATCCTCCTTCAAATCATACACTTAAATACTTGTGCGATTGTATTAAGTTTTCGATTCACTAATCGATTATACAAACTTTCATTGAATTAACCGAATGAGTTATTCCGTACTAAGGAACCATAGACATATTGAAAATTTATATTTGAAAACGAACCTCACTTTTAAACTAACATTTTTCAAATAAAATTAATATTGCTGGAAATAGTGATGACATATTAAGTCAAAATCTTCACAATATACGTGAAAGTGTTACTTATTACATTGATTGAGTGATTGCTTTAGAATTTTAACCAAATCGGTTTGTTTACTTTTCTGGCATAATGGGTTGGAATTGACTTTAACACAATACGTCGATTAATGGGAGGCAATCATTGACTTACAATTATATGGACGTCGGGTCCGCGCTAAAAAGTGTCCGCACTTGTAAGGCGCTAAAATCGTATACAGAGCGCGACACTCCGCTTTAGTCTTCATTTGTTCTACTGACAGCGCGATACTGCGATGACATAACTATTTAAATTTCGAATAGGTTGACTTGGGGCATTTTTTTCGTGGTTTTTGTACGGGTCTAAACCCGTCGTCCATTTATTTGTAAGTCAATGGAGGCAATTAAAAAAATTGCAGCCACCTGTTCATTAGGTGGCAAATCTAAAAGTTAGCGCGTGTCGCTAGCGACATCTGGTAAACTCGTTGGGAATCTTTCGACACAATAAGAAGAAGTTGGGAATCTTGTCTCACGACATCTTCTCAGAGGTTGACGTTGCCAGATCGCGCGACTATCCCTGATGTCGTTGGCGATACTTGTCGAAGCTATTCGTGCCCTAATGAATACGCAGCTTAAATTACATTGTGAGCAACGGGAAAGTGAAAGATTATCAAAATAAACAAGAAAAAAAAGAAAGAAACAATAATGTTCTTACCTACCAATAATTGGTATTTGGTCTGCTTATTAAAAGCTCAAACCCTTTAATTTTTTTTAAGGGTCTTTGAGTTAAATTTAAATTAATACGTATTTACTTACTAATCAAGAAATAATTTCTAACATATGAAGAGGATGTATGGCTATGGTATACCTCTACCTAACCAAAGAAATGGGGAAAAAATCATTTTAAAAAACTTCTTCGTTATCGTTATGCTTTCACAAAACTAATCGTTAGACGATTATGGACGATATATAGGACGTGATTTTTTCATAATCTTTTAATATTTAAGTGCATACATTGTAAAAAAAAACCATAACTGGTGAGAAGTTAGGCTCTACAGCAAACTTTTATCTATTCCGCTGAAGCCTATTATTTTCATGGCATGGCTGTTTTCATAAAACTATTGATTCATTCTTCATAATAAAATGAGAGCACTGAGGGCTACACGCCTCTGTATTTTTTTTTTAACATCAAGTGACAGGACGAACAAGTCATGCGCCTGATGGTAAGTTACACGCCTGTCCATAACAGTAATAGTGCCAATCAAAGCTTTAAAAATCGTAAAAATCTGAAGGGCACTACCACTGCGCCCGTAACCCTTAGACATAAGTTGACAAGTCCCATGGGCCTGTAATTTCACCAGCACCCTTGCCCTTCAAAACCGGATTACAGTAATGCTGACATTACTGTTTGGTTGGCGGCAGAAATAAGTAAGGTGGCAGCAGTGTTGCCAGACTTTTTTGCGAAGTTAATTGGCCAATTTATGTGTGTTTAGTAGTCGATATTCGCATGGACTTATTTCCCCAATTAAATTTTAAAAAATTAATAAATTAAAACCCCCAGAGTTATTTTATAAAAATTCCCAATAAAATTTGTAATTCCCCAGACATTTTATTAAGTAGCCTAAAATCGCCTTTTCCTATTTGAAACATAGCCTAAATATTGCCGAGCCGCCGATCACTTTTTTAGTCGCCCCTAGATACGAGCGCCGCTTTTGTCCTCGCGTCGCCGCCGCCGACAAATGCAATCGGCGCGCCGTTCAATTCGATCAGCCGCTCCGATCGTACGCACGCGCACGCTTCCATATTGTGTATGTGAAAATGGCGATCCCAGAAAATGGCTTTTCTAAGTTAAAACTTATTTATTTTTAATAAAATGTAAATTCGCATTTGATCTCCATCTCACCTGATG